TCTTAACCTGCCTTCTGGTGATTTGCTGGCAAACTTTGTTGTTTCTTGGCTTGTTGGTGCCTCATTTCAATGTTCTGTCTTCACATGACATTCTCCCTACCTGTCTGTTTCCGAATTTTCCCTTTAAACAAGGACACTAGTCACATTGGGTTAGAGATCACTCTAATGACATAATTTAACCCCAATTACCTATGTAGACACTCTTTCCAGATAAGGTCTGTGATACTGGATGTTGGGGCCTCAATATAACTTTTTCGAAGGGTCACAGTTCAATCCATAAAAACTCACCATTAGGCCAGTGCAATGGCTCACACCTGTAATCCCAGCACTTTGGGAGGCCAAGGTGGGCAGATGACCTTAGGTCAGGATTTCAAGACCAGCCTGACCAACATGATGAAACCTCATCTCTACTAAAAATATAAAATTTAGCTGGGCATGGTGGTGGGCACCTGCAGTCCCAGCTACTCTGGAGGCCGAGACAGGAGAATTGCTTAACCCCGGAGGCAGAGGTTGCAGTGAGCTGAAATCATGCCACTGCACTCCAGTCTGAGTGACAGAGTGAGACTCTGTCTCAAAAGAAAAAAAAAAAAAAAAAAAAAAACACCATCAACATAAGAGTTTTACATATGCTGTTCATTCTCCCAGAAATCTTTCCAACCCTCACTCTTCTGCCATCTTACCTGGTTATCCTTCCAAGTTTCAACCTAGAATAACTTTTCTTAAAGAAAATTGAAGTACAATCTAAATATATTTTTCCCAGTTCATGTATATACTTGGCCTTACTTTTGAAATAATTGTCAATTATGTAATTTTACATTTATTGTTGAGATTACTTGATTAGTATTTGTCTGCTTCACAAATGGCATGGACTTCATAATTTGTGAAGTATGTTTCTACTTCACAGAAAACAATTTCTGCCCAGTGTTGGGTCAATAGTGTTTAGAATACCATAGTAGGCATTCAGCAAATGTTTTATTAAATAAATGAATCACGGATCAGACCAGCTATGTCAAAAGGATATGCCAGAAGTTTCAATATCTCTACCCTCACTAAAATGTTCATGAGAACATGAATTGATTATTTACATATAATTAAGATAAAACAATATTCCACCTGTTGGAAATTAATTTCTGACAAGGAGAAATTATTTCAGGAAATAATTTCTCTAGCATTAGACTAAATTCGACTGGCCAGAAGAATCAATGAGATTTAGAGTTTACTTTGAATTATCTGTGCTACAGGAGTTGGACAGGGCTTTAAGCCTGCTTGTGTTATTCCACTTCTTTTCATCTCAAAAGATCTGTCTGTCTAATTTCATTCATTAGCTACCAAAGCAGGCAGCAAAGCAAAAGATTATAATAAGATTTGAGAAATAGTCGGTTTAGTACAACAAATTTATTGATAAGTGCTTGGCTTTGAAACACCAATACAGAAATAATTCGTGTATTGAGATATATGCTATGTGACTTATAATCAACAGGAGCAGGAACAGAAATGCACACATATAATTTATGTATTTTACTTTTATTTTAATGTTACACATAAAGGCTTTTAGATTCAAAAATGCAAAATGCTGCTTCTGATTCTTTGGTGGATATCTCTAATACAGACACACACATACACAAACACACACACATACACGCACATATATAAGTATCTAACACATACATATACTGTGGATGAGAAATATATATATTTCTCTTCTAAAATAAATGATTTATTTCTCTCCTAAAATAAATGGAATATTCAAAAGCTACAATCTGTATCTATATTGCCTTTGAAGACTGGCATGAGTGGCTTAAAATTCTAGCTTTTTACCTTATTATCTGAATCATTATGAACAATTCTTTTAACCCTCAGTTTACTTTTCTGTAAAATAGAGGTAATAGGATTATTCTAGTCGTTGGATTATTATGGCTATTAAGTATATTTGATAGATTTAACCCTATTACATACAATATGTACCATAGTTATGGTTAACAATCAATAAATTTTTCTATAATTATCTTCACCAACATAAGCCCAAGAGATGAATTTTAAAGTCTTCTATTTCAAACATATTCATTTGCTTTGCAGAGTTCACATGGTTTCCTAAACTTAGGTACATTTTTATCATTATTTTTTCTTTTCTCTTTTTGTAAGCTTGATTGAGGTATACCTGATATACAAAAAAAATGCACATATTCAACATACTCAATGTATACATTTTGATAAGTTTGGACCAATGTGATATCATCAGCACAATCAAGGTATTAAACATAATCCATCACTTTGAAAAATTTCCTTGTGTTCTTATGTGTGTATATTTAGTGTGTGTTTGTATATGTGTGTGTATCTGTTAAGAACACAAGATCTATTCAAGAACAGAAAATCAAAACTGCATGTTCTCACTCATAGGTGGGTATTGAACAATAAGAACACATGGACACAGGGAGGGGAGCATCACACACTGGGGTCGGTGTGGGGGGACAAAGGGAGGGACAGCATGGGGACGGTGGGGAGGTTGGGAGGGATAACATGGGGAGAAATGACAGATGTAGGTGACAGGGGGATGGAAGCAGCAAACCACATTGCCATGTGTTTACCTATGCAGCAATCCTGCATGATCTGCACATGTACCCAGAATCTAAAGTACAATTTAAAAAGACCTATTCTTTTCACATAATAAAGTTCATGATATTTTATTGTTAATAATAGGTACTATGTTATACAGCAGACCTCTAGAACTTATTCATCTTGCATTATTAAAACTTTATACCCATTGAGCCCCTAGCAACCATCATCTGTTCTATACTTTCATGCGTTTCACCCTTTTAGGTACCACATATATGTGGAATCATGAAGTGAATTAAGCCAATCACAAAAGGACAAATATGATTATTTTTTAAATATGTTTCATGTTTACCTAATAGCTGTTATACATAATGAATTAAGACTATTTTCTTTAAGTAAATCGTGGCTATAGTTAATATTAAGAATATCATGTAGATAAATTTTGTAATCTTTTCTGAAGATTTAATTCTGCCCAGTAGTTACAGAAGCAAACAGTTATAAACATATTGATAAAATATCCTTATTTTGAAATATTTATTGTTAAGGTTGACATTTTTTGGCCTATGCAATATTCATTCTTTGATGAAAGTATTCCCTCTGAAAATTTTTCATAAATCAAAATATACACACACAAAATGATCAAAAATAAAATTGAAACAATATAAAGATTGTTTTATTAAAATACAAAAATTTAATTTGTTTGGTACATATTATTTTTGCCTCTGAATATTAGCTAGAATTTGGCAATTAGCCATGCTATATCCAGTTCAAAACTGGAAGTTGCTTCTTTCAAATATATTGTTACTAACTGTATTAAGTTAATAAAGCATGGCTCTACTTACCATATTTACAGAGTTCCTAATTTCCCCAGAAAGTTTCCCTCTAAAAGTCATATTTAAGTATACATTAAGTATACTTTTTAGTGACTCAAATATATTTTTCTGTTACATCAAGGTTACATGTAGTTACACAGATAGGCCCCATGAAGATGTTAATGATGCAGTATGAATTCAATATGAGGTATAATAGGAAAGCATAGCCTCAATCAAACTTTATTTATTAATCATTGAAAATCTGAACTTGTCTCTTGCTTCTCTTAAACAGATTTGTTGACCATATATTTTATAGGAGTTTCTCACCTTTGTCAAGTATGTGGTATAATCCATAAGATTTCTCTAGAATTATATTTTTAAAAGTTAAGCATACAGAAGATACATGAAGGTTTTGAGTTGTGAAATCAGTATTTGTAAGACCTTATTAAGTGCCTTTCCAATTCCATTCAACAGACATTTATGAATTCTAATGTGTTAGGCACAGTGTCAAATCATTAATATCTTTCACTTACATCAGAGGTCCCAGTTCCTGGTGTCAGGGACTCGTACCAGTTCCTGGCCTGTTAGGAACCAGGCTGCACAGCAGGAAGTGAGTGGTGGCTGGTGAGCCAGGAAGCTTCATTTGTATTTACTACCATTTCCCAGGGCTCGCATTACTACCTGAGCTCCCGCCTCCTGTCAGGTCAGCAGCATTAGATTTTCATGGAAGTGAACCCCATGGTGAAGTGTGCATGCAAGGGGTCTAGGTTCACACTCCTTATGAGAACTTAATGCTTGATGATCTGTTACTGTCTCTCATCAACCCCAAATGAGACCATCTAGTTGCAGGAAAACAAGCTCAGGGCTCCCACTGATTCTCCATTATGGCAAGTTATATCATTCTTTTATTGCCCCCCCTCAAGAGACCCCAGTGCGTGATGATCCCCTCCCTGTGTCCATGTGTTCTCATTGTTCAACACCTGCCTATGAGTGAAAACATGAGGTGTTTGATTTTCTGTTCTTGAATAGATCTTAAGTGTTCTTAGCAGATACACACACACGCGCGCGCGCACACACACACACACACATCAATATACACGCATAAGAACACAAGGAAATTTTTTGAAATGATGGATTATGTTTAGTACCTTGATTGTGGTGATGATATCACATTGGTCCAAACTCTGTTATGGAATCATAACAGAAATAAAGTGTGCAATAAATGTAATATCCTTGAATTATCCCTTACCCACCACCAGTCCATGGAAAAAATTATCTTCCATAAAACTGATCCTTGGTACCAAAAAGGCTGGGGACTGTTGACTTATATCTGTTGACCTTCACTTTAGCTGAAGAGATTGGTCTTCTAATTTCAATTTTAAAAATAATAAAGCTGAGGTTCAAAAAGTTTAAACAAGTGTCAGAATAGAATTGGAACCTAAATCTGACTGATTCCTAGACTATACCATGATTACCATTCTATGCTGCCTCTACTCAAGCGAAGTCCTTATTAACTGGTTTTTCAAAAAAGCAGTAACTGTAACTGTTGAAACACCTTTGAAATGCCTCTGAAACTCTTTTTTAAACTCTGTTAAAAAGAAAACCAACAAAATGGTTTTGTTTGTTTTTATATAGGTATATGGCTATTATTGATCCCTTGAAACCCAGACTGTCTGCCACAGCAACGAAGATTGTCATTGGAAGTATTTGGATTCTAGCATTTCTACTTGCCTTCCCTCAATGTCTATATTCCAAAACCAAAGTCCTGCCAGGTCGTACTCTCTGCTTTGTGCAATGGCCAGAAGGTCCCAAACAACATTTCACGTAAGTTAATTTTCTATTATGATTTTCAATTCAGTATATCAAACACTTATAAAACTATAGATTAGGAGCAACAACCAAACAAATAAGACGTAGACATTTCCCCCAGGGTTTGTACATTATTTGGAAAAGGAAACATATAAAAATACTGTAATACTGTATGATGTATGTGGTCAATAAGTTTGTGTAAGTTACTAAGGTTTTAATTGGAAATATGAGGATGTCTATGTGGGATGGCACTGGAGAGTTTCCTGAAGAAAGCGATAAAAGATAAAAGCAATGTGCAAAGAAAAGCATGGTTGTTATTGATTGAGAAATGAGTGAGAAGGAAGAAATCAAAGCCTAAAAGTGTTGATTGCTCTTTTAAGAAGCGTAGCTGGAGGGAAGGAGCACCCTAGTAGGTTATCTAATTTTATTTTGGTTTGATTTGGTTTGTGTTC